TGTAAAGCGCTTTGGGGTCCTTAGGGACTAGTAAAGCGCTATACAAATACAGGCCATTTACCATTTTTACCATTTAGCACACACAATGTGCCACTGCTCAAGAAGGCCCATCTTTTGTTTTTCACTGAACATCTGATTCGGAGAAGGTTTGGGAGGAAGTGCTGTGGTCAGAAGAAACCAAAACCGAGCAGTTTGCCACGAACTCAGCCCGCCATGGAGAAAGAGAAATGCTGAGCATGACCCAAAGAACACCATCCCCACAGTCAAGCAGGGAGGAGGAAACATTACGCTTTGAAGCTATGTTTCTGGTTACAGGATAACTAACCACGTTGGCGGGACAATGGACATAAAATCTTAGATGATCTTTCCTGAACCAGAACACTGAAGATGGGTTGTGGATGGCTCTTCCAGCATGACAGTGACTCAAAGAAGGATCACATCAAGGACATGCCTAGCCAGTCTCCAGACCTCAGTACAATAGAATATCTCTGGAGGGAGCTGATGCTTCAAGTTGCTAAGCAACACCAAAGAAACCAAAAGGATTTAGAAAGTTTCTGTAAAGAGGAGTGGGCCAAAAGCCTCCCTGAGATGTGTGCAAACCCAATGACCAACTATAAGAAACATCTTACTGCTGTACTTGAAACTTGTTGGTTTCTCCAACCTCCAGTACTAATCCGTTTCCCTTCACGATCAAATACTTATGTCATTAAATAACATTCAAAATAATTGATAGTTTTCACATAATATTTATTCTTTTAATGATTTTTGAGCGGTCCTGGGTTCAAATGTTTCATTTTTCAGCCTTTCTGCATGGTGTCTCCATGTTCCTAAGTGTGAGTGGGTGTCTGTCTTTCTGTGTTGGCCATGCAACAGTTTCTGCAGGGTATCAACTAATTATTTCCCCCACTGAAGTACTTGCACACTCACATGTTCTGGAAAGAAAGCTACAATAACACATGCTACTGCGGCAGTGCTCAGACACTTACTATGTGCTACTTAATGTGACTTGTTTCTATTCACATTTCTCAGTTACTTCTCTTCATATCTAAAGGACTCATTAATCTTTTTTAATATTCTAGATCTAGTGAAGTCCATGAGCTTGTTTCCACAGCAGACATCTTGGATGTCATCTCCCTCACCTATCTTAAGTTTGAGCCTTTAATACCTGTGACTTTGAGCAGTCTTAAGGTAAATCCCCTTGTTACAAGTGTGAGAATGCTGCCACGCTCATTTTCATACCAGGGAGTTGTTCCCACACCAGCCTATTTGCTGGCTCCCATTTTCTATCAAAAGCGCATGCATAAATACATTTTTTTTAATTAAGAGTGTGCATCACACGGTGTAATGAAACCTCTTATTAGTTCCGGGTCTTTATCACACACACACACACACACACACTAGGGTCATCATTTTGTCATCTCTGCTGCTGTGGCGCTGTTCCACAGGGAGCCTCCCGGGTGAATTATGGCTCTGCACACATCACATTACAGTATAGCCGGTCTGTAATGTGTTGTTGAGCTGGAAAATATAGCTGTAGCCAAAGGGCCGAAAAACTAATTTTCTCGTGTAATGGGAGGGTTTTTATGTATGTATGCAGGACAAAGCTGGCTCAGAATTTGATGGAAGCTGAAGTGAAAATGGAAAGAACAAAATCACCTCTCCTCCAAAATTTATTTGCATGTATTCCGAAAAATAAAATTTATCTGTGAAAACGGGGGAGAAAAGGGTCGCTAGTCCAAACCGCCCTGCCCAAAGGTTAAAGTTGTGCTGTTAAACACAGTGCAGGTGGGGGACAGGTGTGTCCTGTATTTTTATTTATTTATTTTTTTCACATTTAACTTCTCCTCTCTCTCCTCCATCTCTCTCCGCCTCGTGATTCCGTCTTGGCATTAACAGGCTGGATTTTTTGCCTGAAAACCGAGGACATGCGCGCTGAACAGGAGGAGGAGGAGGTGAAACACACGATCTGCTTCTGATATTTTCTGTTGACTCCGTGATCACTCAATTATCGTGCGGAACTCTCATTTTTCCATCGCCTGTTTTTTTTTTCTCTTAAAGCGGGGATGTGAGGAGTGATTTTTGTCCCTCTCTCTCATTTATACAGACTAAACTTCAGTCATTTCACACTTTATTTAGCTTTATTTGGTGGCAAGATTTCTTTTTTATTTCTTGCAGATAAGGAGTGTTATTATTATTATTGTTATTAGATTTTTCTAATAATCGATCGCCCCCGCCGCCACCCTGAAGTTCATCGTTATTATATTGGCCGCCGGGATGGTGGCCTTCATCGGAGCGGTTATCTGCATCATCGCGGCTGTCCACACCGGATCCTCCAAGGCTGCTGCGGCTCAACAGCAACCAGCAGTCGACAACCACTCGCTGTACCCGGACGCCGCGGCGCAGACACCCGCCGCTGCGGGCTCCGTGGCCCGGCCCGGCTCCCTGGGTGCTCTCCACGGTTCTGAAACGCCCGATTCAGAAGCGCCTACCTTCAACATCGGGCTCGGCGGGCTGGACGGGGTCACCGGACTCACCGGACATGACCCGACCGTCAGTCGGCTGATCTGCACTCCGATCCCAGCCGGGGAGTGCAACCCGAAAAACTTTCAGCAACAAGCGGACGACCCGTCGTTGTACGCAGGCGAAGACTGGGGCTACCTCCGCACCACCGCGGAGGAGCTCCGGCAGACCGTTCTGCAGCAGAAAGACCAAATCTTAACAGACCAGCGGACCATCAGGGAGCTGACGGGGAAGCTGTCCGAGTGTGAGAAGGGGCTGGACGGGAAAAGTGGTAGGAGCAGCGGCAGCAGCAGCGCGGGAAGACGTGGGAGCTCCGCGGCGCTGCGAGGAGGCAAAGGCGCGGCGCAGGAGGCGCACCTGGACCGGATCATGGTGCGGGACAGCCCGTCTGCGACCTCCGACGGTGTCCACCTGCTCACAGTGCGAGCTGTGGATGAACTGGAGCAGGCTATAACTCAGCTCAAAGACCGTATAGAGAAACTGGAGGTAGGTAGAGTGTCGAGAAAAGCACACAAACCACACTCTGCATACAAATCAAGCAGCACTTGATCGAGGTGTAATTAATCCCAGGGAGCAGTATTTAGTCACCACAGGCACCTGAGGGCACAAAGAAGAATCTCCACAGTGTAAGACTGATGGAGAGGGAGCTGTTTTAAATATTTATAACACACTCCTCCGTGCTGGCCACTGTGAAGACACCTAGCTGTTTATTTCTTCTTCACTCTAAAGCTCCCTTTAGGATTTATGGATATGACCCATGAAAACAAGGGGTTTATTTTTTTTCAGTGAACTATCTGCTACAGTGTTTGTGTCAGTTGTTAATAACACCTAATTTTCTCCATGTCATCACACCTGACATACGTAATGAAGCCTACATGCACTGTTGCCAATTCCAGAACTGAAATGATAAAATAATGGAAAGACTGAAGAGTGATGCTTGCAGGGAGAGCAGGAGGCAGTGAAGGAAAGAAGACAGCAGAGTGACCTCTTACTTGACCAGATTCAGATGAAGGATAACCTCATTTTGGGGCTAAAGAAATGACATGAATAATTCAGGAGGTTCCTGTTTGTTTGGTCCAAACACAGGCTGATTGTGTTTCCCTGCAGTTCTGCTCCCCAGATGTAGTTTATGTAGGACATGCTTGTGTGGTGGGTCACTTCCTTTGTTCGGTCTGCTGTGTCTGCATTGCCACTGTCAGAGAAAACCTCCATAGGATGCATGCATGTGATTTGTCACACATAACCTTATCACCCTACACTGCTGTCAGACGACTTTCATCCCTGTTCTCACGGAACTTAAGTTGTGCCTGAGTTGAATTCCTGCACTGTTGCTATTTTATCTCTTGTTTTTTCTTTCACCCA